CTAGTTTGTATGCCTGAACACTTAGAACATGGTTCATAAATACTGTTTCAAATTAATCTCCTTCTTCCTAACTTATAACTATCCAGAACAGAAACTGGAAATATCCTAGCATCAATCTAGTTCTCTATTGTCAGTGAGATGGTAGAAACATGAAGAAGCAGATTCATTGCAGTAGCACATAAAAGAGTGTGGAAATGCAAACCAACCTCTATTAGGGAGATTACTGTCACCCTCTGAGATACCATAACCATCGACCCTCTTGTTATATAAACCTGAGCCAGAGCCTCCTGGGAGATGAGATTGACAAGAGGCACCATTATATCAACATTTTAATGAGGACCTTGGGGAAGGTAAAATCTACAAATTTCTGCATATTTGATACTACTGCATGTATCCTTTGGCTAGCAAATCATAACTTCTTGCCCCTTTAATTTCTATCATTAAAAACTATTATATAAAATTCCTTTCTCTATGTTGCCTAATATATTGTTGTCCAGGAATGTACTTTACAGGATAGTTGGGTGTTTTAAGAGTCTGTTATGTCAAAACATAATATATCAATACATTTGATACTTTTAGCTGCATGTTCATATCTACTTTCTCCTATTTCCGAGCTTCCTCTTTCTGCCACTTGTACACAGTTACTAAGGCATGCTGAACAAGTCCATCCCAATTTCGTTATTTCTGACCACTAGTACGCTAATTTTTTTTAACACATTTTATACTCTCCACAGTAGCTGCTCAAAAATTTTTCCTCTTCCCAGTCACCAATCCCTACCTCCAATCTTTTCTCAATAGACTACCCTAACTTCTACTTTACTGTGATTAAGCAATCTTGAGTTCCCTCATCCTTCATATCTCCAAACCTTTTTATGCTCTCATTCTTTATTCTCTGGGGGCCAGGAAGGCTATATCTCCTCTCAAGGAGATATCTAGAGGATATCCTGGGGGTTTTGAGGGGATCTCCTCTGTACTGCCATTGGCTTGAGCCCCTACCAGTTGTGTTACTCCCCCTCCTTCTCATCTGTTAGGGGCAGAGGAGCACAGTTACCAGCATTCCAGTTCCATTTAACCACTGAACATAGTCTAACTTTTACAAAGGGATTTTTGCTTCAAGGGTACAATAAGAACACACATACGTCCCCTACCCCCATACCTCTCCTGTACCACATCGGTTACTGGGGGCAATAGGCTCAAAACTGAGTTCAGTACCTATGTAGCACTGGTCTCACCAAGTTCATGTCCAAAGACAGCATTGCTGCTGGATAAGCCCCTGTCTCAGCTTTCTCTGGCATGGTTCCAGAAGGCTGCTCCTTCTTGAAGCATTGATGCTGAGCTGGCTTTAATACCTGACCTAGGTTTCTACTCCCAGATTCCTGTGGCTTGCTCTCCCTATCCAAGGTTAGAAACTTGACACTTCCTGACTAGTAGTGCCAAGATGGTGAAGTAGAGGGAGCATTCTAGCCAACATTACCTTCTAAACAACTTTTAATAATGGACAAATAATATTTTAATACTAACAAATAATGTTTCAAATCAAATACTGGAGTGGCATAGCCAACAAAAAGTCAAGGTGGGAGAATTTTCCAGCCCAAGACAACTAAGGAAGATGGAAGGGAGATCTGTGATATTGGGGTTGGAGCTGGCCAGGAGCACAGCATGAGTCAACACCAGCTGTGGACCTTGGAGGCAGCAGAGTTAGCGGCAGCAGTTTGGGGAGCTCTCAGTACCCTGGGACTGTAAAGGGTTTGTACAACTGGTTAGAAAGAGATTACAGAGGACCCCTGTGCCGGCACTGGATGTAAGACTGGGTGCTGTTCGGCACCTCCATTGCCCATTACCCAGTTCCAGGTCTGTGTTCTAGGGCAAACAGGTGTGCTTGAAGTCACAAAGGGTCAGGGGCCTTGTTGCAGTTCCAAGGGGGTAAGGAGTGCTTGTGGTTGTATGGGAGCATGGTCCCTACCTGGGTAAGGACAAGAGTAAAACCAGGAGAGCAGGAAATACCTTGGAAACACCAAAAATTTAGAGACCCCCAGAATTAGCTATGAAAACAGCAGGGTGGAAAAAGCCTGAAGCTTGGGATGGCGGTACCACCCTCCCAAGGCGAGCACAGCGTAACTCTAACATAAAATTCAAAATAAAAAAATTGGCTGGAAAAATAAGTAAACAACAGAAAAAGAACATGACCGTAAAAAGCTACTATAGTGACACAGAAGCTCAAGGTACAAAACTAAGAAGAAGACAACAATATGAAAACATCTACAAGCAAAGCCTCAAAAAAATGCAGTTAGGATACAAACTCAAGGTTAGAAACTCTTCACCAGATGCCATGAGGGAAGGAGTCACAGATATCTCATAGAAGCAACTGAGGCAAAGAGACAGTAGCTGAAGCTGAAAGACCTTTCTGAATGCCCCTGCAGATAATCAAAGAGCCTCTCCAACATATAGTTAGCCAACTGGAACCAATCATAGATTGTTTACATATGTTCCATAATCTTTAAGGCATTTTCCTCAATCATTGTAACTATTCTTCTAGAAGCAGGCTTCCCAGGTTCTCATATGGAAAGATGCTGCTATCCCAGGTGCTCTGTACATGTAAGGTTAACTATTTGTGCTTATCAACCCTATGCAACATGACTTCTGGCCCCCAAACTTTACTGGAACACTCTCTAAAGTCCCCATGAATTTTATTAGCACTTCTACATATACGACTATTAAATATGCATACAAACCTCCAATCCCTCCCATGAGCTCCTCTTCAACTGCCAACTAGAATCTCTACCTAGATATCCCACTAGCTCCTTAAATTCAACATGTCCCAAACTGTGAAGCCAAGTCAGTAAGCACCTCCTACGTACCAGGCACTCCACTAAGTAAGCACCACTGACAGACAAAAACAAAACCAGTCCCTTCTTTCAGGAAGCTCAAAGTCTAATGGGAGAGACAATATGCAAGTAATTATGTACAAAAAAAAAAGCTACATACAGTATAAATTGTAGATAATCACACAAGAAAGGCATTAAAGGGGATTGGGAAAGGCTTCTTGAGGAAGGTGAAATTTTAACTAGGACTTAAAGAAAGCTTAGAGAATCTGGAAGACAGAGATGAGGAGGGAGAGAATTTGTATGTAGAACAGCCAGTGAAAACCAACAGTTAGAAGATAAGATATCCTGTTGCATAGCAAGTAGGCCAGTGTCACAGGATCAGCAGAGTAAGTAGAGGAGATTCAAGTGTAAGAAGACTAAAAGGAGGGGGGAAAGGAAGGAACAGGTTATGAAGGGCCAAATAAGATTGTATATTTAATCCTGGAGGTAGTAGTGAACCATGCAGTTTATTGAGTATGAGAGTGGTATAGTCAGACCTTCACTTTTAGGAAGAACAATTTGACAACTGAATGGAGGATGGACTGGAGTAGGGAGAGACTTGAGGCAGGGAGACCTAACAGAAATCTATTGCAATAATTCAAGCATGAAGTGAAGAGGCCTGTACCAGACAGGTGACAGTGTCAGAGAAGAGAAGAGGACGTATATGAAAGATGTTACAAACGTAGATCTGATAACAGATTAGATATAGGGAGTGAGGCAGAGAATGAGATATCTACTATGATAACTATGTTTCTAGCTTAGGCGAGTAGGAGGATTGTGGTGGTCTTGACAGTAATAGGCAAGTTTTGTATGGGGAGGGTTTGAAGGCAAAGATAATGTGTTCAGTTTTGAGTATGTTGTGTTTGAGGTATCTATGGGACATCCAGTTTAAGACAAACAAGCAGCTGGAAAAAGGAGACTGGAGGTCAAGGGGGAGGTTAGGGCTACATAAATGGATCAGAGAATCATCTGCATAGAGATGATAATTAAATCCATGGGAGCTGATGAGATCACCAAGTGAAATAGTATAGATGGAAAAGAGAAAAGGGCCCAGGATAGAGCCTTGGGGAACACTGAAGTTTAGTATGATGTGAATGAAGCTCCAGCAGAAGAGACTGAAAAGAAGCAGTTAGACAGGTAGAAGAACTAGGGCAGAGAAGTGTCATAAAAACTTAGTGAGAAGAGGGAGACTGACAGCATTAAAGGCTGCACAGCATAACATCTAAAAGTCCTTCTCTGAAATGAATGAAGATTGAGGAAAGATTTGATAACTTTGGAGAGTGCAGTTTCAGCTGAATGATGCATTGCAGAGTTGTACTGCTGAGTTAGGGAACTGAACATCATCTGCCTAACCCCCCACAAATATGCTCCTCCTCTAAACTTCTCAAATTCTCTTAATGGATTCTCTATCCTCCCCAATCATTCAGACCTGTCTCAACAGACATCTTCCACATTTTGCTCCCTCATCCCATGTATCTTTTGCCAGTTCTCATCAATAATACTTCCATAATAACTCCCACATCCATTCTTTCTTTTTTTAAAAATCAATTCCCACAATCACTACTGTAGTTCACACCTCTCCTCTGGATTATTGTAGTAGTTTTCTACTGGTTGGTCTTCTCACCTTCATTCTCTCCCCTCTCTAATCTGCCAAAGTTTTCAGTTGACTTCCTATAACCTGACATTTACGGCCCTCCAAAATCAAGCTTATTTTCAGCTTTCACACTATTTCCCTGTATCCACTCCTTTCTCCAGGCAAGCTGTTCCCCCAAATTTGTCCTGAACTTGAAGGGCATTGCTACAAGCTCTTCCCTATGCCTTTTCTGGGAGCTTTCTCAGAGCCTGCTTCCAGCTAAAAATGCTTTCTCCCTTCTCAGCTTTTCCTAGAACATTTTTGGTTCTGCCTTTTACACACCCTCTTGCATTATACTTATTTGCGTACATGTATTAATTCCTATTGGATTGTAGTCTCCTTAAGTGCAGTGGTCGTATCCATTTTTGCATCCCCAGCTGCAGTTTCTCACACAGTGGGAGAACTAAAATGTTTAAATTTAATTCCCCGCCCCCATCTCTATGGCAAACATCGGAACCCACCCTAGTTCCAAGTTGACCTGGAAACGGAAGTAAAAAGTCACGGCTACTTCTGGGAGAACGTTTTCTGGAGGTCTTCCTACGTAGAAAAACTGAGCTGCCTCCTCCATAGGCCAGAGGTGAGAATGAGGAGTGGGTGTGGATGGTCTGCGGTGGGGCTGGGCCGGGGAAGCATCGTTCTTATTCTCTGTAGGTAGCGGGAGAGAATCCTCTGAGCCTGAAGTCAAAGGCTTCCAAGGAAAAGCTTTAGAAGGGGCGAGAAAGGACTAAATCTGTGTGCCTCTATGGCAGTCTAGACACACCTCCCCCCTTCTTTTTTTCTCTTTAAGAACTATCAGCTTCTTTGAGAACCTGGGCTTGCCGCTGAGGATTCTGGGTGTTGTTGGGGGGGGGTTGTAATTGGGGACTTCTGCGCGGGGACTTCTGGGACTTGTAGTCCAGATAGGGCGAGTGCATACTAGGGCTGCCGCTTCAAAGGGTCTTCTTGGAATAAGAGGTGAGTACGGGCCTAGGGACCCCAAAACCATTGGCACTCCTCACATATTACTCGTGGCACCAAAGGGTTTAGTCCGTCATCTTTTGCATCATCAAAGATTAGAAATCCCACAGTGTCCTGTTACCACAAGAAATGTTATTTTGGCATCCCAGCCCCTGCCTCCTTTCACCATTAGTCTTTTGGCTCTATGATCATTAACATATTTAGAGTTGTGGGGTTACAAGATTGTGAAGAATCCTAGAATCCAAATTTTAGGGCTGAATGGACTAAAAGATCATCTAGTCAGACACTCATTAACATCTAAAAGAGGAAAGGAAAACAAGGAAAAGGGGAAGTATTTCCTGAAAAAAGTGTTAGAACAAGAACCCACCTTCTGGAAACCTTGGGGTCTGACAGGGTTAGGTATCAGAATTAGGAATGGGGAATATGGTTTCTAGACCTTCTGCTGACAAGGCTCTTGTGGTTTGTTCCCATGCCTTATTGGAGCTTGAGGAAGTTTTAGAAACTCATAATAATTATGGATCACAGATCAGTCAATCAACAAGGATTCATTAATCTCCGGTTAACATGCACTTTGCTAAGCCCTGTGGATATAAACACAAGAAGTGAAATAGTTTCTGCACTCAAAAATCTTACATTCTAATGGAGAATAGTGTTATATAAAATATATACAGAATATGTACAAAATTAATACAAGATAGTTTTGTGAGGGCTAGCACTAGCAGTTGGGCTTCATGTAAAAGATTGAGATGAATTTTGAAGGAGATGAGGGATTCTGGGGATTCCAAGAAACAGAGAATGTATTGCAGGGATGGGAGACAGCCAATTTAAAGGCGTCTGGAGATGGAGTGAAATGTGGTAATAACCTGTATCACAGAGTATGGAGTCAAGTCTAAGAAATCTGAGAAGGTAGGAAAGGATCAGGTTGTAAAGAACCTTAATTGTCAAACAAAGGATTTTACATTTGATCATGGAGGCAATAGGTAACCACTGGAATAAATTGAGGGAAGTGTTAGGTGGCATTATCAGACCTGCACTTTAGTAAAATCATTATGGCAACTGTGCAGAGGGTGAATTGGAATAGGGAAAGACTTGAGTCAAAGAAGCTAAATAAATGGTAGGCTGTTGCAGAAACCAAGATGAGAGATGAGGAAGACCTGAACTAGGGTGGTAACTGTAAGTGGAGGGTACGATATGTTGTTGAGGTAAAAACCGCAGCATCTGACTAGTTGCATATATGGGGTGAGAGAGAGAGAGGATTCAAGAGTGAAGCTAAGGTGGGAAACTTGGTTGTTTGGAAGGATAGTAATGCCCTTAACATTAATAGGGCAATTAGAGAAAGGGTGGGGCCTTTCTGGGGGGTAACAGTGAGAGAAGATAGTGGGTTCTGTATTGGACAAATTGAGTTTGAGTTGCTTATGGGATATCCAGGTGGAAATGTCCAATAGGCAGATGTGTAACTGGAGCTCAGGAGAGCTATATATTGGATATATAGATCTGAGAATCATCTGCATAGAAATAGTCATTAAACACACGGGCAGTAGTGAGAGTACCAAGATCATTTCCCACCCAGGTACTTTCCTTGCCTTCATCATCTCTCCAGAAACTCATCATTCTACAAGATAAAATCAATTCAGAAACTCATACCTCCTAAGATAATTTCCCACTCTTACATTCCAATAGAGATAGTATCATATAAAGTATATGCAGAATATGTACAAAATTAATACAAGATAGTTTTTGTGAGGGAGTACACTTGCAGTTGGGCTTCATGTAAAATGTTGAGATGAATCTTGAAGGACATCAGGAATTCCAAGAGGCAGAGGGGAGAAGAAAGTACATTACAGACACGAGAGACAGCCAATTTAAAGCCCTTGTGGTCTAAAGATGGAGGGAAGTGTGATGAACTTGCATGACTTCATGAAGTTGCATGACTTCATCATTCGCTACCATCCTCCCCCTTCAGCTTCTTTTTATGTGTTGTCTCCCACGTTAAATTTTGAGCTCCTTGAGGGCAAGGACTATCTTATACCTTTCTTTGTATTCCCAGCATAGGCACTACATATACATATATGTGTGTGTGTATGTGTATATGTGTATATATGTAGGTATATGTATGTATACATACATGTGTATTCTAACTGCTGTGTGCCCAAGACAGAAAGTGTAGAGAGAGAGAAGAGGGCCTAGGCCTTGGGGTATACCCACAGTCAGTGACAGGGATAATAAATTAGCAAAAGAAACTGAAGAGAGGTCAGGAAGGTAAAAGAATTAAGACATGCCATGAAAAATCAGAGAGTAGAGAGTATCCAGAAGAGATTAGTCAGTGATGTCAAATATTGCAGAGGTCAAGGAGGATGCAAATTGAGAAAAAGGCATTAGATTTGGCAATTAGAAGATTGTTCATTAGTAACTTTGGAGAGAGCAGTTTCAATTGAGTTTGGAAGCCTGATCACAAAGAGTTAAGAATAAAGGAAGAAGTAAGGGCACCAGGTGAATAGATGGTCCTTAATAGAGCAAAATATACTCTAATGCCTTCCCTAAGATTTCTCACATTTTTATGGTTTAAATAAAGCAAGTCTAAAGTACAAAAGGCAATTATAGGGCGTACAAAAAGTAAGAGTAGAGTACTACACTAATTAAAACTTGGTCAATGATTGTCATTTGAATTTAAACATCACCACCCATTTCACTATGAAATTATTTTATAATGATAATCCTATATATGTATATATCCTAGAAGTTTTCATACATATTCTGTAATTTGATCTTACAACAATTCTGTAAGGAAGGGAACATTAAATATCAATATAGCTATTTTAATAGATGAGAAAACTGAGGATACAAAGAGTGCAATTATTTTCTCTTATCCCCTTCCAAGGGACTTCATAAATCTCTAGTGACATTGATTAGATACAGATATATTCTGCATAATGTTGCCCTGATAAACATTTTTACAATATTATCATTAGTGCATTTTAACCAAACCTCAGCCAATGCTAACCCTTCTACTTAGATTCTTGAACCCATTCCTTTCCATCTCCTCTATGAACTTACTCCATCAATCATCCCTTTTCTCTCCCTAATTTTCACCCTCTCCTTGTTATTCATCCTTGGACTTTAGGATAGAGAAACTTGTTGTTCATCCTTTGTTTTTCAAAGCAAACCTATGACATCACCATGATATCTTGACTTGCACATGAATTGTATTTAAGTGAGGCAGAGTTGCACAGAGTTGTCATCCTGACTCTGTCTTCCTGAATCATTGAAGTCTAGTGTCAGGACAAAAGTCAAGATGACTGATAATGACCCAAAATGCAATGGATGACTTTGGTGTCTTTGATGTCTGACTGAGCTCTAAATATTCCATACTGCCTGTTTCAGCCCCCTTCATGGCCATTAGAACAAACTGTTCTCATCTGCCCATTCTGGTAGGGCATGTCTTCGCATGCGTGAGGGTAGACATTCCCCCTAACTCACCAACAGGTTTGAGGCTGTTGGTTACCCTCAACTTGGTTTAGCCTGTCTGCTGAGACAGTTTACCAGGGTATGAACAACTTGTTTGGCCATTCCCCAATTGATGAGCTTCCCCTCAACTTCTAATTCTTTACCGCCAGAAAAGAGCTGCTATAAATTTTTGTACATAAAGGTCCTTTTCCTTTTTGTTATCTCTTTTGGGATACGAACTTAGTACTACTATTGCTAGGTGAAAGGGTATGCATGGTTTTATAGCCCTTTGGGCTATAACATTCCAAATTGTTCTCCAGAATGATTGAATCAGTTCACAACTCCACCAACAGTACATTAAAGTTTTATTTTTTCCACACACCCTCCAATAGTTGTCATTTATTTTTTCTGTCCTATTAGCCAATCTAATAGGTATGAGGTAGTACCTCAGAATTGTTTTAATTTGCATTTCTCCAATCAATAGTAAGTTAGAGTATCTTTTCATATGGCTATAGATAGCTTTGATTACTTCATCTGAAAACTGGTCGTATCTTTTGATCATTTATCAATTGGAGAATGGTTCTTATTTTTATAACTTGCACTCAGTTCTCTATATGTTTGAGAAACTTGCTTCAAAATTTTTTTCACGATTACTATTGCTATTTCCCTCCATCCTATTGCCCTCTTTTATTCTATTCTTTCTCTCCTTTCACCTTGTCCCTCCTCAAAAGTGTTTTGTTTCTAACTACTCCCTCCCCCAATCTGCCCTCCCTTCTATCACCCCCTCCCCTTCTCTTTTCTCTTTTCCCTCCTACTTTTCTGTAGGGTAAATAAGATAGATTTCTGTATCCAATTGAGTGTGTACATTATTCCCTCTTTTAGCCAGTTCTCATGAGAGTAAGGTTCACTCACTTTTCCTCACCTCCCCCCTCTTCCTTTCCTCTGTAAAAGCTTTTTCTGCGAGATAATTTTTCTGCGAGATAATTTACCCCATTCTACCTCTCCCTTTCTCTTTATCCAAGAACGTTCTTCTCTCGCCCTTTAATTTTGTTTTTTAGATATTATCCCTTCATATTCAACTCACACCTATACCCTTTGTCTATATATACGCCTAACTACCCTAATAATGAGAAAGGTCATATGAGTTACAAATGTCATCTTCCCATGTAGGAATGT